GCCCTGCCTGGAGCGGGACCCGGAGGCGGCAGGTCCTCCGCAAAGACGGCGGGAGAGGACGCCGAGAGGGCTCCCGGAGGAGGAGGAGGAGGAGGAAGGGCGCCGCGCATCCCGATTCTTTATTTGTGAGGAGGTGGCCTTAAAACTTGAGTGTCAACCTCTACTCTTCCCCTCTGGCACCAGAGCTCATGTGTTACATTTCCTTAGTGTTGGCACACTAAAAAACAAGAAATGAGGAGAGAATGGTGGCAAGAGAGTCATTTTCCAATTATTCATTTTTCTCCTGTCAAGACTTCTTCATTACCCAGCTTTCCATTCATGCATAATAATCAGGAATACCATAGTATAAGTAAACTTGGTCTTTATCTTCAAATAAACATAATTATACTTGAGAATCTTTTCTAGCTGCGCTACGTGACTCCGGCTGAAAAGGAGGGGGGGCGGGGCCGGGTGGCCAGACAGCCCCGCCCCCTCCCGCACCCATCCTGCCTGGTCCTGAGCTCCCCGTTCCTTCCTTCCTTCCTTCCTCCTCCTCCTTCCCCCCCCCGCCCTCTTTAACCTGGCGCAACTGCGGGGACTTTCCACCCATCCGATAAAGCGCAGAAAGGAAGGGGGCCCCTCCGGCTGAAAAGGAGGGGGGGCGGGGCCGGGTGGCCAGACAGCCCCGCCCCCTCCCGCACCCATCCTGCCTGGTCCTGAGCTCCCCGTTCCTTCCTTCCTTCCTTCCTCCTCCTCCTTCCCCCCCCCGCCCTCTTTAACCTGGCGCAACTGCGGGGACTTTCCACCCATCCGATAAAGCGCAGAAAGGAAGGGGGCCCCTCTGAGCGCGTGCAGAGTGCCATTCCCTTCTCTCCAGCACTGCCATCGGACGCACAACGGGAAGAGTTTTCCAGCCGGCCCTGAACTCCCCCCCCCCGCCCAAGGGTGGTTCACTGGTTTTTGTCGTTGTGATGGTCGGTGGGGTTTTATCGGATTGCGCGCTGATGGGGATCCCCCGAGTGGAGGGAAAGACAAGGAGAGGCTTCATAATGAAGTCCCCCCTCCGCCCCTTATACATCCACACAACACGGTAACCTCTCAAGACGCAAAGGGGTTAGGGTCAGAAACATCCCCATCTTTACTTCCGTGCTCTATGGCCTATCGATGAAGAGATCCGTGATGTGTGGAAGGCTGGCGTATTTTCTCAGCCTTTGATCTGATCTCTCTGGGAAAAGCATTCATGCCAGTTCACACTTTTACACACATCCCCCCAAATATGATGGGTTTTGGAACGACCTACATCTGTTTTGCTTCCATCCACTGGAGATCTGAGGTTCTGGGGAGCTTAAAGGAAAAGCCCTCTGCACACGTGCAGAGAGAACCTTGGACTGAGGTTTCAGAGTCTGATGTGATCCAAACACGGATTTCAAGGTTAAGTGAGATATTTAAGGAGCGCCAGTGAGCTTCCATGGCCGAGTGGGGATTCGAACCCAGCACACCACTCTGGCAACGCTTGTGTGATGCTGCAACAACCACCACCAGTGTTTACACACAAACAAGACATGGGTCCCAGGACTCGGTTTATCAGCTTCCGGCTGCTTTTCGCATCATGTGAAACCTTCTGAGCTGTCTTTCCAAAGTGGCCTCGTGTTCGAGACCTCGCGGCTGCCCAGGTTCCAGGTCACTGGCTCCCCCCCCGGATCTTGGCAGTCGCATTAGCCCTGCTCAGGAAGGATCAAGCCTTCCCTGGGGGAACGTGCAGGTTCACACTTGCCCGGGGGGGGGGGACGAAGCTGAGCCTCTCCCCCCCACCACCACCCTGACCCTCCTCCTCCTCCTCCTCAAGGGGTGTGCAACCATCTCCGGGAGAAGCGGGCCTCTCCCTCCCGGATGGACGGATCCATCTTGAGCACGAGGAGCGTCGCCCTCATCCTGCCCGCTGTGATTCAGCACTTCCAAGGCCATGCATTATATATGAAGTTGGGGGAAGAAGGTGCCCTATAAAAAAAGCCGCGCCAGCCAGAGAGGGCTGCAGTAAAAAGGTAATTTAGACCAAAGCAATAAGGGCTCTAACCTGCTTCCTGTACTTTTTCTGGCCCATTACCCACCGAGGGCCGTCCACGTCCCATAAATAGCTTCCCCAACCTCAAAGACGGTCAGAGACTCTCTTTTATGACAAGCTAAAAATCTAAAGTCGGTGCAAGCTTTCCGGCTACACAGAGCTCCTTCTCCGCAACCTCCTTCTGTTAAAACTCCGAGGCGGTGAGCTAAATCAGGCAGTTCTTGGTGGTTTAGGCCCCTGACCTCTCCCATCGAGGAAAGCTGTGGTGGGTTTTCTGTTTTTTTCCCCCCATCCGACTCTCGCCATTCAACGATGCGGATCGTATTTTACTTTTACTGGTGTTAACCGTTGCCTGCTTAATTTTACAGGTCTTTTTGTTCTGTTTCATGCTAATCCTTGGAGCAGGAAAGCTGGGGTTAAATCTGATAAAAAACAAGACTGTCTCAATGGCAAAAGGCTGCCGAAAACTTCTGATGGTGTTCAGACTCAGCTATCCTAAACCTTAGACCCTCTGAAGGTGTTAGACAGACTATAGTTCCCATCGTCCTTGCAAGCCAGCTCTCTTCTTTCAACCCCTGGGCCTGTTGCCGGATGGAGCCGTTTGGTGGAGCACCCAGCGTTTGCTGGCGTCACCTGACGGATACCAGGGTGAGCGAGGGCTGAGATTAGAAGCCTGGGAGGGATTTAAAAACCAGCTCTGGCGCGCGCGCACACACTCCCTTTTCCTGCAGCTCAGCTAAGCAGCCGGCTTTGTCCTCTTTCTGGAGAGAAGAACAGACCCCCGGGGGCCAGGAGGCAGGTCTCCAAAGGGAAAACATGCAGCCGAACTGAGAATCTAAAGTATGTACTGTACGTGACACGGAATGAGCAACACAACTCAACATCCTCCTGGTGGGGACTTCTGATTATTACGATGTTGCAGGTTTCTAGGCCTCATGGAGGCCATGTCGGTTTTGCAACGGGTCAAGCCTGTTTTGCCTGCCGAACTTGTCCATATGACCCTGCCCCCCAAACCAGGGGCCCGACCCAAACCTTTTGGGAGGCTTCCACCTGTGAAGGAGCAAAGAGTGTGCCCACCGCCCTGACTTCTACTCACAGCGCTTGGGGAGGGACTGTAATTGTGCTCGTGTCGTGGGGGAGAAAATCCTGGACAGGGGGGGTTCTTTTCCCCGCCTGCCCTTTGTATGCCTGGCAGAGGTAGCGGGAATCTGGATTCTTTCCACCCCTTGCGCAAGTGCAAAACAAAGCACAATACTTCTGCTGTCCAAGAGAACACAACAGGTTGGGATTTATTGACCCTTCTGTGGTCTTTTTGTGTGTTATTATTATTTTTTGGCTCAGCAGAAAAATGCATCTGTGGAAGGTGGGAAGGTCGACAGAAGCCTATGTTCTGGCGAGACACCACCAAAGTGGGAGGCGTGGGGAGCGCCCTCCCCGCCATCTCTCTCTCTGCCCGGCAGCAAAGCTGGCACTCAAAAGGCAGAGAGCGAGCGAGGAAGCGAGCGCTGAACCGGGATACGAGCAAGAGAGCTGAGGGAATCTAGGCCACCGTGGGGGTGGGGTGG